AGAATAGGCAAATCCAGGGGCAGAACATAGAATAAAGGGTATCAAAACCTGGGGGGTTATGAGTAGAGGTGAATAGGGAGTTATTTCAGATCATGAAAAAACTGTGGAAATTGTAATAGTTACACAACATTGTGAATGTACTTACTGCCACTTATAAGCACTGTTGTGTTTTATTTTGCAACAGGGCAAGAAGGGGGGTTTGGTAACCAGACTTTAATATGGCCCCCAATGATCCCTGCCTCTGGGTATTAATCTCTTGTGTAAGCCCCTCCAATTGAGTAGAGGATGGACTTAATGACTCACTTCTAACAAATAGGATAAGGCAAAAGTAACTGTGTGACTTAATGTCTAGATCATCAAAGATTGTGTCTATTCTTTCTCTCCTTTGTATCACTCATTTAGGGGAAACCATCCACCATGTTATGAAGTGCGCCATGGACAGGTCCATACAGTGAGGAACTAAGCGCCTGTTCATGTCCTTGCTGGTGTGAGCTGAGAAACATCTTCCAGCCATCCAGCTCTCAGATGACTCCAGCCCTGGCTAACATCATCACTGCACTCTTCTAAGAGCTCCTGAGACATCACACTAACCTGCTCCTGGATTTCTGCTCCTCAGATACTGTGAGATATTTATTGCTTCTAGCTGCTAAATTTTGCTATATAGTAATAAATAACAAATACCATAAATGGGTGTAGAGGATATGGGAGGTGTTAAAGCACGAGTCCAAGCATTATGAAAGAATAATCACTAAAAGCCAGTATGCTCAATCACTTAGTGTGTAATGAATAATAGACTTTGAAGTAAAAAAAAAAAGAGAGAGAAAATGTCAATTTTAAGGATAAGCTTGCGCAGAATACTAAAATGGCTTGAAACAATTTTATTGGCATTTAAAGTTTTTATTTAGAATTTAATCCACATTCTATACAAGTTATTTACAAGGCATGAAAATGGAAAACAGCACAAAATACAATTGAGGTATAAGCTAAGAGCACAGTATGTCATGTTTCAATAAATATAATTCAAAATTTGTAAACTAAGTGACCAGATAGATGAGTCTTGTTTTATAGTAAAACCATATAAAATATTTATTTCACGTGAGGTAGAGGACAGTTTTGTGTCATGTAATACAACCAACCACAGCAATTTTAACCATAAAACTGTACATCATTGGCAAAATTTTATATTGAATTATGGTTGATGTAGTCAACAATTTGTTTCAACAGTTGCATAACAGGCTATTTAATTTACTGCCTTCACAGATTAAAATTCAGAAATAATTTAAGACTACAGTGTTGGCTTAAAATTATCAGGATAAAGAAATACTTCTAACAGGATAGTTAAAAGCAAGTATATTTTTCCCAAACTATAATTCCCCAACAGGTGTCCTAGATTTAGCAATTTAGTAGGATTTTTTTTATATAAGAACTACTTTAAAAATGCTGTGCTTTATTTTCAAGTGAGGTATCTATATCAAAGAAAATCTTATAAATTTATTTTACATTCAACTAATACACTTTTGTTTTCTGGGCTTAACTTTTAAATCTCAGTTTGTACATTTGATCACTTTCTAATTCCAAAACAGTAGCATTATATAAGACATTTAATTCTATTAGTAAAAAAACAGGCCCCAATTGCATTATGTAGTTTAAAGCCATTTAAATGGATTTTTTAAAAAAAACTGTCCTTTTAAACAAGATGTAATACAGAATACCTATATAATTTTTTCCAATGAAAAAGTTAAGTATTCCATACTAGAAAAAAAAATTAAGCTGTTTAAATTACTTAGTCTCACAATGTATATAATACAGCAGTAATGTGTCCCTTATTGCTGACAGCTTCAATAAAAACTATTAACAAGTAGTTCCAAGCACAGAAATAGATGTACAGTATAAGCACTTTTCGTTATATTAATTTTAATGTCCTGTCGTGCAGATTAAATGCATAAAAGCAAGTAAAAATAAGAATTCTTCCCTAAGCAATCAAAACATAAGTCTTTTTATTGAGAAGAAAATTTTAGAAGCTGATCAAAAACCTTCAGCAACAGCTTTACAATTGATTTTAGGGAACTACCTTGCGCATGTTTCATATTACTCATTTATCATTTTACTTTTCTTCTAACAGAGGCCACAGTTGTGCACATTAAGTTGGTTGTTCCGTCATGACTTCTAATAAATGAAACCTGTAAATATTGTACTCAGTCTATTTCATCTACTTTAGTAACTGGTTTTTAATTCAATATGTACAAATGATTTTATATTCCAACTGGTAATATATTAAATATGCTATAAAATTAGTTCAAGAAGCATGAAACACCCTAATTATCATGGACACAGAAATTCAAGCAAAAGAATATGCTTTACAAAACTAAAGCACAAGCCAAACTTACATTGTCAGTCAAATCCTTTCATAGTGTTACAAGTTAATTTATGAAATTAAGGTGGTTTCAAGCTTCCTTCAATGACAGCAGGTTTTACATTTACTACCTTTATAGATTTGGTACCTTTTCCTCATAAAGTCCAGAGTACGGAAACTATCATCACCCAAATAAACATCACCTATCACCCAGTAAGTTAAGCTAATAGTCTGTTTTTTTTCTTCCTTCTAAAGATGCTTTAGCACTTTTGATAGGCCTTTACTTTAATGTAGCTCTTTAAAGTAAATATTTTTATATTTTTCCTAAAAAGAATATTAGAAAATCTGAGGGGAAAATCTGCTTGCTTAATGAATTAGCAGGCAAAAACATCACCAAAACAAACTTTAAGATAGCAATCAACGCACAAAATGAGCATGCAAAGAATAGAATAAGTTTATATGGATAAGATAATTTAGCAGAGGCCACTTTTAAAGTATTACAAAATCTCTGTATTTTTAAGCTATGAGGTGCAGTTCAACTTAAAATTACTTTAACCAGAATAAGTATAATATTTACAATTGACTAAAACACTATCTTCAAGGATATTAGACAGAAACCTATGGCAACATCAACGTATCTCTGGGAAAATGAAGACTATACAAGTTTATGTAACAAGTTTTCATTATGTGAAGGATTAGAAAGAATATTTTGCTCAATTCCAAATTGAGTTTATGATCATTTAAAGGTGTTTAAGCACTACTTAGAATTTTAAAGTAACATATTTCAAAGGTTAAGCAATTTACTTTAGAAATTTTGGGTTAAAACTTAAGCATACATTCAATAATAAAGATAAGTTAGAAAAAAAAATAAGCAAGCTTATCATTTTCTAAGTAACATAAGTAGAAAGATTTTGAGTGAACTAGAAAAATAAATGAAATTATAGAGGCTTGTTTGTCTCCCAAAAAGCTTAGCTGTGACACAACTAATTCACAACTAAAATGAAACTGTATCATAGAATGTCTGATTTCTTTCTCCAGATCTAAATAAAAGGTATTAGGAGGACATGTTGTTTTTAACATTGTTTCTGTATGTAATTTTTTAACATTTGTTCCTCCTTGAGGATATTCCCAAAGTCAACAAATTAAATTGCAGAATATACTAAAATTTAAATGATAAATAGAAAACACATATTTAGATCACACTCTAGTGAGAAAAACTATACTTTGAGAAGTACAAAATTGTTTTAGGATACATTAGTACCATTAAGCAAAATATGAAAGTAACTGGTTAAATGAAAATCTACTGATTTTTGAAGTTCTATACCATTAGAGTACCTATTGTCTGTGCTGGGAATAGTATATAACCTTAGCTAATTTACTTTAAAAACAGATTTAGCTCTCAAGTAATTTCACTCAGTACCTTAGGCAAGAACATGAGAAACATAAAATTCATTGGATAATAATGTCAATTAATAGGAGCGTCAGGAAACTTCCCTTTAAAAAATGCATACTAGTCCAGCTGGTGTGGCTCAGTGGATTGAGCATTGACCCATGGACTGACAGGTCCCAGTTCAATTCCCAGTCAGGGCACATGCCTGAGTTGCAGGCTCGATCCCCAATGGGAGGCATGCAGGAGGCAGCCGATCAATGTTTCTCTTTCACATGGATGTTTCTCTCTCTCTCTCCCTCCCTCCCTAAAAAAAAAAAAAAAAAAAAAATCAATAAAAAAAAACTGTGACTAAAAAAAAAAAATACCAAAAATGTTACCTAATATCTTTTAAGCCAAGAATTAACTAATATGAACTTTGCCATTAAAGAATGACAGTTTTCTGTGCAAAAAGAAAACAAAAGTGCAGATGTTGCCCCTCTCTCCCAAACTATGAGATTCCTGTCTTCTAAAAATTATCTAAAAATCTCTTAGTAGCAGATAACTAAACTTCCCTATACTAATCTATCATATACTATATCAGTTGACTGTAAATTCCTGATTTTTATAGTAAGTAGTAATTGAAATGGTCCATTTGTGCAAATTTTGATAAGACTTAACATTTAAACATAACAAAAGTCCAAAATAACCTTCAAGGCATTTAATATTTTACAACTTAAAGGAAAACAAAGGCATTAAGGAAAACAAATCCATTATATAAATTTCAGTAAGCCCCATAACTACATATAAAAACTGTACAGGAATATTATGGATTGTACAGAAACTGATGTACACCAATGGTATCAGTTTTTCTCAAGAACAGTAACATTTCAACACTACTATTAACAACATAAACAAAATTCAGAAATTTTTACATTTTATTCCCTCTCCTGAAGTTGCTGTATTAAAAAAATCTAAATATAACCATAATAAACTAAAAAAAAAAAAAAAAATTTACAACTGCTGCTTGTATTTAGCAGCAGGATTATAACAAAGCATATAATCCTTCCCCAGTAAGCCCATGGGGTGTCCTATAACCTCATCAATGAAAATTCGTCTTTTGACAAAATGTCTCTCAGGAGACATTAAAAAGAAGAGAACTAAAGAAAACGCATTCCACAAGATGAACTAAATAAAAGCAATTTTTGTATATAATAATGAGTATAGTATATCAACTTAGAAAGGAGATTGCTAATGAAAAAAATGGAGATTCAACCCCTTGAATATCTCTATATATTTGAAATATGATACAACCATTGTATATAAAATTGAGTCTGAAATACAGATAACAAAACACAACTATTTTTCATCACAATGCAGCTTTTAAAAAGTACACAACTGTTAAATCTGCATTAGAAATATAGGCAGGTTATCTAATAGATGAAACCATAGAGTATTATTACTAAGCTGTTTGAAAAAAAAAGTACAAAGAAACATACATTTTCGCTCATTTGGAAATGTAAAAATTTATGTACCAATATATAATCTCTTCACTTTCTCTGATCTACAAATGGATAGAATGCCTGGTCATCTTCATGCAGATAAGCTGTTCAGAATTCAATTAGCAAAGCAACAAACAAAAATAAACTCTGTTAGGAACACACAGATGAATCTCTTTAAAGGTTTCTATACTTTAGCAGTCTTTGATTTCAAAATTTGCAGCTTTAGCTCTTTTATCATCATCTCTAACTTCTGTCTTGCCTCCCGTTCCTGTCTGAGTTCATCTTGGAGTTCTTGCCGATCAGCCTCTGCATGGTCCAATCTCTGTCTTAGTTCTGCCAACTGTGTGATTTAAAACACTGTCAGTTTTCATTGTTTTGTGTTTCTATTTAATCCTCACATCATGGCAAAGATTTACCTTCAAACTACTCTTTACAAAATGAACTATTTCATGCATATGTAATTCCTTGAATATCTAATACTATTGATCTGACATTGAAAGAGGGAAAAAGAAAAGGGTCAAGAGAACCGAACACTTAGTGTACTTTCATTATGCCCTACACTTTAGCATACTTCTCACCATCATAGTCAACTCATGTTAAGTGTTATTTCTTCATTTCCCCTAAATTGTGAGTTACTGTTTATTTTTGCTCCAGTGCTTTTGAACATAGTGAGCAATAGTTCATGTTTGTTAATTAACTGTTGATTTCAAAGCCAATGTACTATATTAAAATAACACTGGTATTGAGATAGCTAGAAAATAGCAACTTGGGCAATTAAACTACAGAAACCCAATAAAATTATTAAGTAATAAATCAAGGTAAAAAAAAATCATCTTGGCCCAGTTTGCTCAGTGGTTAGAGCACTAGCCCTCGGGCCAAAGAGTCGAGGGTTTGATTCCCAGTCAAGGGCGCATACCTCAGGTTTCAGGTGTGATCCCTGGCCGTGGTCAGGGTCATGTGGGAGGCAACCAACCGATGTGTCTCTCTCACATCTATGTTTCTCTCTCTCTCCCTCCTTCCCACTCTATCAGTAAAAAAAAAAAAAATCTTGGTTTCCCGGACAAGAAAAAGTTAAAGGAGTTCATCACCACCAAACCGTTATTATATGAAATGATGAAGGGTCTTTTTTAAGAAAAAGATAAAATAATGAACAAACCAAATGGCAATGAATACATATCTATCGACAATGGAATCTACAAACAAAATGAAGAGGCAGAGCAGAAACATTCTCATAGATACAGAGAACATTTTGTTGGTTGCCAGATGGGAGGGGGGTTGGGGGAATGGGTGAAAAAGGTGAGGGGATTAAGAAGTACAAATTCATTGCTAGACTGACAAACCTCAAATGGGAAGAAATAAACCAAAGCACTTATATGCATAACCAATGGACACAGACAATGGTGTGGGAAAAGGCGAGGGGGCGGGGGGCGGCGGGAGATGGAAGGAGGGGATCAATGGGGTAAAAATGAGGAGCATCTGTAATACATTCAACAATAAAATTTTTTTTAAAAAATCATCTTGGATGATATAACATCAAGTTGTGTTGAACAGAACTGTTTTGCAATCTGGCCTAATGAAATAAACCTGACAAAAAATAATTTATTTAATAAAGAAGGAAGTCGCTTCAATTTCCACAATGAAAGGGCAACATTATACAAACTAAGTAATTCTTACCTGTGTTGCATATTCAGCCTCTTTGTCTTTTTCTAAATTTGAGTCACAGGTACATTTTTGCTTCATTACCTGCTCTAATTTTTTCTCTAAGTCTTTCTGTTCAACATAAAATTCTTCCATTCTTTGAGCATGCTCATTCTGCAAAGATTCAAGTTCTTTCTGTAAATTCTGTTGTTCTTCAGTGAGTTCTTTCATTACTTTTGAACTACTCAACATTTCAACTTCCTGCAATATACAGAATCACATTATAATTTGTACTTTATTTCTATCATGTTAAAAATTTCAATTCAGGAAAAATACTACATAAAACATATAAAATTCAGCTGTCATATCAATACTATGTAGAGGTAATTATCTTGAAAAACTTTCTCTAAAAATTTAAAATTGCTTATGACTTTAAACTCTGAATAATCATAAATTTATAGCATCTCATCTTGACTTTTCTTAAGAATATGCAAAAATATATTTTCATAATAGGCTATTATAAAATTTTACCATCTCAAGTTGTTGCTTCTTCTGCAAAATTGAGTTCAATTTTTCCTGTTGTTTTACGTAAGTTCTCATTACTTCTTCCATGATTTTTCCCTTATCGTCTTCACAAATGACATCTTTGACAAGAAGTGGAGATGAAGCTGCAGCATCATGGTCAATTCCCACCATGCTTGTGTCTCTGATTAAGTTGCAAGTGGTTGACTCAGGTTTCTTTTTACTTACAGAATTACTTGAGATTGATGGATCTTTGAGAGGCAAAAATAAAGTAACAAAGTATGAATAACACTGTTAAAAAGTCATTAGAAAAAAATCCATAAATGAAATGAAGAAAACAAATCCATTTATAAATGAAATAAAAAAGACTACTTACAAATAAATTTAGCAAAAGTAGTATAAGATTTGAACAATGAAAACTACAAAACACTGAAATTAAAGACCTAAATAAATGGAAAGGCAGAAAGGCATCCCTTGTTCGCGAATTGAAAGTGTCATGAACTGAATGTCAATCACACAGCGTTCACTTTGAAACCCTAACCCCTGAAGTGATGGTATTAGGAAGTGGAGCTTTTGGGAAGTAATTAGGTCATTAAGGGTGGAGCCACCATGATGGGATTTATATCCTCATAAGAGCCTCCAGAGAGCTCTTCCATCCTTTCCACCATGTGAGGACCCTGTGAGAAGATGGCTATCTATGAACCAGGAAGCAGGACCTTGCCAGATACTAAATCTGATTTCTTGACCTCAGACTTCCCAGCCTCCAGAACCATCAAAAACAAATGTTTGTGGTGTAAGCCACCCAGCCTATGGTATTTTTGTTATAGCAGCCCAAACAGACTAAGATAGCTGGTAACACTCTCCAAATTAATCTACTTTTTCAATGCAACACCTATCAAAATCCCAGCCAGCTTTGTGGCAGAAATTGACAAGCTGATTCTAAAATTCATATGGAATTACAAGGAAACAAAAATAGCCAAAACAATCTTTAAAAAGAGTAACAGAGTTTGAGACTACAATCCCCAATTTCAAATTTTATTATAGAACTATAGAAATCAAGACTATAAAAGAAGCCAGACAACAAAAGGCTTTAATACTGTATCATCCTTTTCACATGAAATATCCAGGACAGGCAAATCCATAGAGACAGAAAATTGATTAGTTGACTAGGGGACGATGAAAAGTAACTGCTAATGGCCCCGCTGGTATGGCTCAGTGGTTGAGCATCAACCCATGCACCAAGAGGTTGCTGGTTCAATTCCCAGTCAGGGCACATACCCAGGTTGTGGGCCAGAGCCCCAGTGGAAGGTGTGCAGAAGGCAGCCAATCGATGTTCTCTCGCAACGATGTTTCTGTCTCTGTCTCTCTCTCCCCCTATTCCCCTCTCTCTTAAATCAATAAATTAAATAAATAAATAAGAAATAAGAAAGTAACTGCTATTGCATTATAGAGTTTCTTTTAGGGTGATGAAAATGTTTGAAATTAAATAGGTGTAACCATTGCACAACTTTGTGAATTTACTAAAAATCACTGAGTTGTACATGTTAAAAGTGTAAATTTTCAGGTAAACTAGTTAAAGCCCAATAATGTTTTGGCAGTCACTATAATTCAGTAATTTTGGAAATAAAATATAATGCAAATAGGGCAAAATGGTACACTAGTAATTATGTAACATATTTAAATCTAAAATAAACTAAGTATTAAAACTCTAAAAATTAAAGTACAGAACCCCCACAACCAGAATCTCAATTATCTATGAAAACAGTTAAATGACTGGAGACTCTTTAACTGCTCCCACAAAGCTGAAATAATGGTCACACTTCCCTAAGCTATAAGCAAAGCTCTCCTGCTACATGGAGGGTAACATAAGCAGCATTTGAGCAAACACATCTTGTTTGGTCCACATATTATAAAAGGCACTGTAACTAGGCAGCTTTTTTTTTTTTAGATGTCCAGAGAGCATTCTGCTTTTGTGCCATCTGTCTGGCTCCTACAGCTATGAATTTTCAATCCTTCCTTATTCCCTAAGTTTTTCTGAGTCCTATACCTACGCTTACATACACTTCTTAGCATTGTAAGTTAAATGGCTTCTCAGTTCACAGCAAATTAGAAAGAAAAATAAGGACCTTCTGAAGAAATATGACAGCAAAAAAAAGGCAGGAAGGGGAAAAAAATAGACAAAAATCACTTGCAGTATGAAACCATGTACCCTATATATCTATCTCATTAGCCTCTATAGCTACCACCACTCCAGAAAAATATAGCAATTGATATTCTAAGTAGTCATTCAACCTTTTTTATAGTAAAAGTTTCAAAATTATCTGAAAAATTATCTTAAATAGAAATCTTCTTTGAAAAATCAAATATCTAATATTTTTTAATACTAATTTTAAATATAGGAATACTTACCCAAATGGTTACATAATTCTCTACTTGTTTTTAAATCCATTTTCTCCTGTTCCTCCAGTGAGACATCTGGATAAGACACTGTTTTTTGATGTTTCCCACTACTGTGAGGCTTCTCTGAGTGTCTTGGTAGGGATCTACCTGCCTCTGTCTTTGTGACCTCTTTAGACTGGGATACAGCAGAAGTGAGTGACACATTTGGGGCAACCACTTTATCACACATGTATAAGTAGTAGCTGAAAACAAACAAACAAAAAGGTGTAATAAGACACATATTACGTTTAGGTAAAAAGCAAAATGTGTTACATCTATTTCTATGGTTAAACAATGTTGTTTTTTTAACCAGAACAGACAGCATAACTAAGAAAATAAGGGTCATAGAAAATAATTATTGAAAAAGTCAGCATTTTAGGCAGTAAAAGCAAAAGCATAAGGGAGTTTCATTATTTTGCAAAAAGTAACTTCTAAGCACTAAAAGGATACTCACTAGGAAAGAAAATCAGTTTCTTCTTTCCCTCAAAACCACCTGAGAACTAAAAGCATGAAGCCCTTTACAGCCTTACATAAGTAAGGTTTATTCAGAAAGAAAACACTATATGCTACTTTGAAAGACTGTTTTCTTGCCCATCACCCCTCTAAAGCAACAAATCCTTGCTTTTTGTTATGGTGAGGCTGATTCTGCTCCACACTGCATGGCTATGGCCTGAACCATGGGCCCAATGCTCCCAGGACCCTTCCTTCTTAAATAGCTCAGGGAAAGACCAGGCATTCTGAATGCTGCCCAGCTTGATTGGGCAGCCCTGCTTGATTCAAATCCTACAGAGCAATCAATCTTCCTAACTTTAGTACTTCCTAAGTTTTTGGTAAAATAGCAATAGTAAATTGTGCAAAACTAAAATAAAATGGATATCTACCAATTTTACTCAAAGTTCACATAAAATTGTTCAGTGTGCTATCTAGGAATCTGAGACTTTTGTGATTTGAGCTAGATTTTTAAGTATTATGTTATTAACTATAACCTGTATAAACTTTAGCCAAAAGATGCAAACATTTAACTGACATAATACTTCATTCCCCAAATTCTTACATAGTCTCCCCTCTTACATCTCCTTTTCTTTGTATAGGACACATTTATTTTGTTCCTTTTTACCAATTACATGAATTCTGAGGATGAAAACAGTATTCTACTAAGAAAATTGACAGGTTTAATACTGCCCAAAGACCTCAAACACATTAAGAACATGGAACTGTGCAAATGTAAGTAAGACTGAGATTCTTTTTTTTTTTTTTTAATTTTTATTCCTTTATTGATTTTAGAGAGAGAGGAAGTGAGAGGGAGAGAGAGAGAGATAGAAACATCGATGAGAGAACATAGACTGGCTGCCTTCTGCATGTCCCCCACTGGGGATTGGGCCAACAACCTGGGCATGTAAGACTGTGATTCTTCATCACCATGGTTGGGGAGAATATATATTTACAGCAGCATAAAACTTTAAGACTGAATAAACAGTTTATAATCTAAGGTACATTCTTATTGAAAATGTGAAAATTTTACTTTGAGGGGTATGGTTACTATGAAAACTTCTGTTTCAAAAAGATTTCTTTTAAAAAAATCAAAGTTCACACCAAACTTTTAAAGAGTACTTTACCTCTTAAAAGGAGGTAAGGAAACTAAAAGAAAACTTTCACTTCTACTTCAGGGAAAAATGAAATGACCTATTTCTAGAAAAAACATGGAAACATAAGAAAGGTTATTTTGGCCCTGGCCAGATAGTTCAATTGGTTAGAGCATCATCCCAATACGCCAAGGATGCAGGTCGATCTCCAGGCAGGGCACATGCAAGAAGCAACCAATGAATGCATAAATAAGTGGAACAACAAATCAGTGTTTCTCTCTCTCTCTCAAAAATCAATATATAAATTTTTCAAGAAAGATTGTAAATGCTCAACACAATTTACAATTCATTTCATTAATTAATAAGAAAGCCTAAAGCTATATATGAGATTTCCAGGGCCTAGAACAGTATCTGACATATAAAATGCTGGTTGAATAAATGAATGAATAAATGGCCCTGGCTGGTTTGGCTTGGCGGTTACAGCGTCAGCCAGTGAACAGACTAAAGAATCTCAGGTTTGATTCCAGTCAAGGGCTCGTCCCTCAGTTGCAGTTCTGTCCCCAGCCCTGGTCGGGGTCATGCGGGAGGCAACCAGTCAATGTATCTCTCTTGCATTGATGTTTCTCTCTTTCTTCTCCTCCCTCCCACGCTATCTGAAGATAAATAGAAAAAATATCCTCGGGTAATGATAAAAAAAAAAGAATGAATAAATGAACAAACGAATAAATGAATGAGACAATACTCACTTACCTAGGGTGTAAAAATGAATGTGTTTGAGAAACATGGTCACTTTCCTGCTTTATAACAGGATACCATGATGGTAATTCCATTCCTGATGGTGTATCTATCTGTAGAAAAATGTAGAAGGGAAGAAATTTATTGAGAGAAGATGTAATGGTTAAAATTTTTAATGTATCAACTTGACAGGGCTGTAGGGTATCTCTGGAGAACCCTGAGAAAGAAGAGTTACATTAATTGTCATCTTCCAATTAGGCAATCTTTCTTAAAGTACCATGTCTGGTCACTTGAAACTCAATGAGACTGCTACATACATGAACTATCCCATCACAAAAGTTTTAGTATGTATGTTAATAGAGATTACCAGAAGTGATTTCATCCAATTTCATACTTATAAAATCTATTTTTAAAATCCATTTTAGTCCTAGCTGGGTGGTTCAGTTAGCTGGAGCATTGTTCAATATACCAAAAGGTTGCAGGTTCCATTTATGGTCAGGGTACATACCTAGTTTTTGGGTTCGAACCCTATCAGAAGCATATGGGAGACAACCAATCAATGTTCCTCTTTCACATCAATGTCTGTTTGGCTCTCTCTCTCTCTCTCCCTAAAATAACCAAACACATCTTCTGTTAAAGATTTAAAAGAAACCACTTTAAGTCCATTTTAAATAATAGCACTCTGAAAATATACAAAATTGGTAAGTTATGATTCTTCTTCATTCAGCCACAATCAGCAAGAATATAAAACATGCATATAGTATTTGTTAGTGTATAGATAACATTCTACAGCAATAAATATCTTGCCAAACTAAACGTGAAACTACTTTGTTAAATACTTATCAATAAACTATATTTCCTCAGAAACTGTACCTGTAAATAAAGAAAAAGAAGGTAACTACTTTTTGAGCATACATCTGATAATATATATACACATCCTGCTTAATTCTAACAAATACCTCAATTAAGTAGACACCATTATCTCTATTTCACAGATCAGAAAACTGAGGTTCAGAAACTGAGAAAGAAAAGAATAAATATTCTGTATTATTAATTTCTCTCTTATTTTGGTTTGCTTTATACTTTGTCTCCCCTCCCTATACACATACCTATTTCATAATTACATTATAGTAATTACCCTGCTCTTGGGAAAAAGATACCTTAAAAGGGGACAAGACTCACTAATGGAGGAGGGAAAAAGGAGCCAAAAGAAGGGCTGGTTAAGGTGAGCAACAAAGATAGGGGTTAAAAGACAAACTAGTGAAGTGAAGAAGAAGGAAATTAGGAATGAGAGAAAGGATGACACAAAAAGGAGAGCTGGGTATTCTGACCCTGCCTCTGAGAGGCTCCACTCCCTCTGCAACTAGGGAAGGTGTGTGGAGAATGACATCTTCATTGAATAATGCATAAGCACTGCACTCAGGACAGCCACTAAATACACAGAACTAAAAAAACTGTTTTGCCTGATGTCCTACTATTCTAGTTCAGAACCGAGAAACTAAGTAAAATGTAATGGAAACATCTTCAGATGCTAAGCAGTTGTGATTAAAGGAAAACCAAATTCATAAATTGTCCATGGTTTGGTTAAAGAGATCCTGCTAGTGGAGGAAACCAATGTGAATTGAAGAGACCCAGGAAAGGAAAGGCCTGACAAGTAACCACTGCCCCCAAAACACATGCTGAAAATGGAAAGGAAACAGCTTTTGGAGCATACTCACACAACATGACCAATTAGGAGATGGTTTAAAGTCAATTAAAAGCCAAAAACAATAATGTCAGTTTGTATGGGTAGATCAACATTTTTACTAAGAATTACTGGGCAAGCCTTGGCTGATATGGCCCAGTTGGCTGGGCGTCATCCCATGCACCAAAAAGGTGGATGGTTCGATTCCTAGTGAGGGCACAGGCCCAAGTTTCCCCCGCCACCCGGTGGAGGGCATGCAGTAAGCAGCCAATTGATGTTTTACTCTCTCATCATTGTTTCTTTCCCTCTCTCTCTCTCCATTTTCCCTTCCTCTCTCTCTAAAAATCTATTTAAAAATCTTAAAAAAAAAGAATTATTGGACAAGGAACTTGTAAGACTAACAAGACCATAAGATCATAGGGAAAAGAATAATATTTAAGAGTTATGTATTCAAAGAGGGACTCTAGACTCTATATAAGAGGAGATTTTTTTTTAAACCTCACATTCCTGGTCAAATATTCTAAACAAGTTCAGAATCTGAGACAAAATGAACTGCTTATTAATAAAGTAAACCAATCATTTGTTTACATAGTTTCTCAACCTATAGCTTCGTTCCACCAATAAGTTAGAAAGGGAACTGACTGCTGGCAACAAAATACTAAAACTACTCAGAAAGCAATAAAATGTGAGGGCTTTACCATAGGCCAGGGTAAATACTTTTATGTATCTCAACTGTCCCTTACCCTCGTCACCACAAAGTACAGTAACTGATGTTTAAGAAGTCTTGAGTCAACATGACATGAATTTTATACTACACATAAATAGTATACCACATACATATATAACATACTACACACCACATGAAAAGATTGAAAACTACTTCATATTTTAGAATTCATGAAAAAAGTTAAACTTTTAAAAAACACAGTTAATGCTGAAAAAAGTAGTTTCATTATCTAGAAAATTCACTTAGGCATAACATTTGTCACCCCAACACTGTGATAAAAGAGGTGTTAATTAGCATGAATAAGCTCACACTAACAAATCAATAAATATAAGTTGCACTTGAATTAAATGAGAATTTCTTTTCTAGAAGCCACTTGTTAAACTCATTATTTAGAAAATAAGCAAGCTCTACTATTATATTTGACACAATCCTGGATGTACTGCTCAAGAAATCAATTGTTACCAGATTTCTTAAATTAAAATTAATTTATATATTCAGAAGTTTTTCCTTTTATGGACATCTGTAATTTCAAATCTTCAGAAAAGCAAATTCTAAACTTCTTCAGTCATAAATCTTGACTTGAAATCTAACTCAAGTTTGGTCATTTCAAAACTCTACATCTTGATTTGTGTTTTACTTTTATTCATGACCCAAATTCAGTTTATCTTTATTTCTATGTCCCTACACTGCAGATGCCAACTTCAGTAATTGTTAGTGCATTTGTACACAGGATTGAGCAAAGGTAGGTTTACAGTTGTTTGTTTGGAAAATATAATAAAATCAATAATACAATAATAAATTTTCGCATACTCAACTGTAAACCTACTTTTGCCATACCCTGTATTTTTAAACAACCATCCCTCTCTAGTTTCTGTCCTTTATTTGATATCCTATTCTCACACAATCCCAGTAACAGTCACAGACTAGGGGTTCTAAAGTAATCTTCCTTGAAGATCATCTAGTACAGTACCCTAGCCTATGACAAATTCCTATTCAAAATCCCTGACAAGGCGCTACCCAGTCTCTGCCTGAACAGCAGTGGGAGGTCAAACTGTATTACTTACTTTTATATTTTCAGTACCTAGCACCATGCCTGGCATGTATTAGGGATTCAGTAACTATTTGTTGAATGAATTGTGAATAACATAGCTCATTAACTCCCAGGCTAGCCTTTTATAAGATTACTCTACCAAGAAATTCACAAATAGTCTCTTTCCCATTCCATATCCTACTCACGAAGTAAAGTACCAAAGAGGCCACAAAGGTCTCCAAGATGTATTTTTAGAGATCAGATCTACAAATTAAATAATATAAATGATGGGGAAATGGACAACATTAACCATAATAAAATGTTGATAGTTAATTGTACCTAATATGCTGTGGTAAGTTATAAACACATTTATAACAAATTATCTTACACTGCATATTATTTAAGAAAAGCACATATTATACAACAGCACAGTCACAGGCATGCCAGATTTTTTCATCTATTCTGCATTTGTTTCAACATACAAATTAGGTTTTCAAAAAAAGAACAATATAATTAAATGGCACAGAAGTAATGCCACTACTGATTAGGAATAAAAATTAAGCTATCAAGAGATGAGCATCTACTGCCGGTTATCTTACCTTTTGATATGAGAATAATTTATTCCCTTTATGTATTTAAACATTAAAATAGAATACTTTATAATACATTACTTGGCAAAGGACAGAAGTCGATCATTTAGTAACTTAAGTTAGAGCCCTAGCATTTTAAAACGCTTTTATCACCCAACCTCCCCACCATTTATCTACCACAAAATGAACAGATGGCATCCTCAACTGAAACACATAAGAAAAATTTCAGACACTTTTACTTCACTCTAAAGGTTCTTTCTACAAATCATAAAGCAACCAATGATTTCAAATCTATGAAAGCAAAATTTAAACAATCCCAAAATGTATGGAAGAGGTCATTTTAAATAAGTAAAAACTAGGGAATGTTAAGGAAAGTTTCTCTAAATTTCAACTTACTGTGTTATGTATACATGACCCTTTGATAATCAGATTTTCTAATAAAGAACCACTGTATTTTGGTAGTACAATGCTTATTAGTCTCACAATGAAATAATTTAGAGAACTTGATTTCATTTAGACAAAAACCAATAGGCATTTTTGTCACCACTTTCTAGATACAAAAGCAATTGCACCCACTCAGCACTATTCACATACAAACAATTTGCACTAAAAAAAAAAAAACAAAAATTTTAAAATTCCTAGACTTATTTTCAATAATAAACTTTGCTTTTAGGTGGCACTCTAGTTTTTAATTACAATATTGGTTAATATTTATGACCTTTAATTAAGTATAATGACAAACATTGATGAATTTAAAAAATCAAGACAATGCTTCAAAATATTGGTAGGATTTCCAAAATCCCCCCCAAATTTAATCAAAATTAAATTTTTAAAAAGATAAAAGATAGACTATATATTTTGGTATTTATAAGAGAATAAGCATATGGAGGACTAACAGATTTCTAAATTTAACAGTCTATCCCCCTAATGGTGTGATTACACAAGAAATAAAATATAATGCACATTAAATACACATTACAACATAAATCATTAGCAACCTTACTAAACATGTGACTGAGTATGTAGTTAAGTAACAACTCTTTAGGTATGAATTGAATATACTTTTAAGGGTCTTTTACTGT